ATTTTTTTAAGTTTATTTGAGAGGGGCATCTGGATGTCTCGGTTGAGCGTCCAACTTCAGCTCAGGTCATGATCTCACAGTTCATGAGTTCAAGCCCCGCATCGGGCTCTGTGCTGACAGCTCAGAGCCTGGAGCCTGCTTCAGATTCTGTGTCTCCTTCTCTCTCTGCCTGTCCCCACTCAGGCTCTGTCTGTCTGTCTCTCTCTCAAAAAACAAAACCAAAACAAAAAAAAACTCATTAAAGTTTATTTGAGAGAGAGCGTGCATGTATGTGAATGGGGGAGGGGCAGAGAGTGAGGGAGAGAGAGAGAGAGAGAGAGCATCCCAAGTAGACTCTGCACTGTCAGTGCAGAGCCCTACTTGGGGTTTGAGCCCACGAACCATGAGATCATGACCTGAGCTGAATCAAGAGTCAGAAGCCTAACTGACTGAGCCACCCGGGTGCCCCAAACAATTTTGGAATGGATCACCTAGAAAACAGAACGGTTCTTTTTTAATTTGTGTTATCAGTAAGCACAGGGGATGTCTTGCCATTCTGTTCTTTTTTCATTCCTTCTGTAATCACACAGGCCTCTTCTGTGAGACCAAGCCAGAAGTGTGGCCCCCTGCAGCCCCTGTCCTTTGCCCTGCTCATGCAGGTGGCCACAGGAGGCACATTCCACCTTACAGGCCAGTGTTGCTGACGTCAGTGCCAAGGAGAGCGGCTGGCTGCAGAATACGATTATGATCCCCTGGCCAGGGCAGTGGGTCAGCACGCAGGAGGTGGAATTTCAGGGAGGGAATAACAGACGCACAGCTGAGGGGCAGGCAGGGTATAAATGACCCACCTCGGAGAAGTGACCCCGGAAGAAATGACTGAAATGACAGAGGCTAACCAAGTCAGGAAAGTGGTGAGGCTCAGATTGGAATTGCTTACAGGGTGGGGAGCCACAAGATGTGTGTTCACAGTGAAACCCTGCAGGAGCTTTCTGGACGGTTTGTCATCGCCTGGCCTGTGTATTTACTGTGGCTTTTCACTTAGCCCAGAGTCACCTACCATGAAGGAGAGGAACTCACCCAGAACATTTGCCAGCACGTTTTCAGATGTGTTAGGGGCATTCAGGTGCTGGCTGCCTCTCTCTGGTTTGGCTGCCCTTGGGAGCTGAAGGGGATGCTGGTTACATACTTGTTGGTGGTAGGGGGGTGGGGGATTGTCCCAGAGCTGGGAGTTTATGTGTGTGCACACGTGTTCTGTAGCGGGGTGGAGGTTTTCAAGCTCCATGTCTTTCCAGGCTTATTTTGCAGAGGGAGAAGCACTTCCATTACCTGAAAAGAGGCCTTCGACAGCTGACCGACGCCTATGAGGTAAGTATATTGCCCACGAGCTCTGTCAGATGGTCAGCCAGACGGTCCTCCTTTTTTCTGTTGGAATGTAAAACACCCATTGGCCTGGCCTCCTGTAGAGTCACTCTTTGTACCACGTGGCTGTGGCAGGAAGCAGGTTCATGGGGAGTAGGGAGCCTGGGCCACAGAGCTGGGACTCCCACTTCTGAAAGCGCAGAACCAGGTCTCTTCCAGTCTTCTCCTCCCCACCCCCCCACCACCCCCAACCCAAGGACAGAGCACCCTAGATGGGGTGGCGCTTTCTTGCACCGTTAGATCACAGTGAGGGGTTCTCGTGCTTTCTGCTGGATGCCCCTTGCCAGCTAGCTGAAAGGCAGTTACCAGTCCATCGCTAATCCTTTGCCCTATAAGCCGATCTAATTCCTATACTGGCCAAAGGATCAGCATATAAATCCCAGCGAGGACTAACACAGTTTAGCACTATAAAAATGCCCACGCTTAGAGTGCATTTTAAATCCCATTCCTCAGAGGGTTCTACCGAGGAGCCTCAGGGGAGGGCAGTGGTGGTGGAGGAGGTGGGGGGGGAGGGTGTTGGGAAGGTGGCAGGCAGAGGACAAATGTCAACAGGAGGGCCCCAGTCTTTCTGCCTTACTTTACACACAGCAGCCTTGCTTTTCATTTGCTTTTTATTTGGGGGTCTACATTTGATTATTTGCAGCAGGGATTGTCCAACTGAAATGCCGGTAGACCCAAGCAGGTGGCATAAATATGAGAAGTGGGCGGGTGGGAGGGAGACTGAGGCAAACCAAAGGCCCTGTGCTTTTCCTCTGTTGCTGCCAGGTGCTGCTATCCAGGAACGCAGACCCAGGCTTGCCAGATTTCTCTCTCTCTCTCTCTCTCTCTCTCTCTCTCTCTCTCTCTCTCTCTCTCTCGCTGTTTTCAAATGAAGCCAGATTTCTGTGTGAATCTCCCAATGCTTAAATGTTGCAACTAATTCTAATGAAAAAAACAACACGCTACAGGGAACAAGCAGAACAGGTCCCCGGGCTAGACCTGGCCTTGGCTCAACATTTTCAATCTTTGCTGTGAGTCTTCTGTAGTTAGGGTGCAGTCAGCCCTGATACAGTTAATACCGTACCAGGGAACAGTTGAACAGAGGGCTGAAAGCTTACCATGCCTTATCTCATTTAATCCTCACAGCTACTAGGTGAGGTAGGTGAGTATTTCTTACAGATAAGGAAACAGGCCTAGGAAGATTAAGTCATTGCTCAAAAGCACATAACTGTAAGCGGAAGAGCTGGGACTGCAACCCAGACAGGCCAGAACCACACCACTTGCTCCCCAGGTGGTGGCCTCACCACAGCCAGAATGGTCAGCACATTTATGAGGGGGGCAGCTTGGGCCACTGGAAAGAGCACTGGTGTGGGAGTCCCAAAAACCTGACTTCCTGTCTCAGCTTTGACATTTGATGTCTTTGTAATCTGGAAAAAGTTCATCTCTCTGGACCTTATTTATATAACTTTTAATCTGGAAAACTGGAATAATAATACTACCTGCCTGCCTAGCCTTGAATGCTCAGTACAGGTTTGTGGGTTGAATCAGGATCCAAAGCTGTTCACATATGACCTTGGGAAGCCTTTCCCAACCCCCCAGGCAGAATTAGGCTCTTCATGTGCTCCCTCAGGACTCTGCTTCTGCCCATTACAGCATATACCGTTATTCAGGTATATGTATACATGTGATATGTGCCATCTTGTTCCGTAAAGCGATAAGGTAACTTGTGCTTAAATGCATCTGTCCAGAGCCCTCTTCCTCTGCAGATAAACACACACATTCTATATCCGAAGAACCTCAACAGTAGAAACTGAATTTTATTCATTATTTTGCCCGCAGTATCTAATGCAATGCTTGGCCCACACAAGGACATGCTAAATATTTGTTGAATCAGTGAGTGAGTTAATCCCAGGAAATCCCTTTCTGAGAGTATATATCGACTTGGGTCTGCACTGAGAAGACAGCATCACTTAACTTCCCAGCATGTGGGCACTCCTCTGCTCAGCCTTCCTTAGGTGCCTATCAGGGAAGGACCCAGTGGGGGCAAGGTAAACTTCTTTGTCCCATTGTCCTTTCTGCACATGTGTTCATTTCAGCTGCTGGCTGGGGCCACAAAGCAAAGTGTCCTTCATTCATTTATTGTTCATAGGGTGCCTTCCTCCCCCTTTCTAAGCTGCTGGGGTGAGACAGATGTTGCCTTGTCAGCAGCATCTTGGAATGATTCTGAACAAGGGGTGTGTTTTCTCCCCTGTGCCTTTCACAGTGTCTGGATGCCAGCCGCCCATGGCTCTGCTACTGGATTCTGCACAGCTTGGAGCTACTAGATGAACCCATCCCTCAGATGGTGGCCACAGAGTGAGTCTGGCGTCAGGGAAGCTGGGCTGTTCTCTGAAATTCTGTTTTGAGTTGGGGGGTTCCTTGTGTTTTGTTTCTGTTTTATTGATTTTGAATGAAAAACACATCATGCTACAAAGAAATCCTTGCCCTCCTCTTGACTCCAGTAACTTCCTGAAACTCCTCCACTCTAGAAGCCTATTGTGAGCTCGTGGGTAGAACAAGACTTTGAACTCCCAAGAGAAGGATTCTGGTTTCTTCTGTGGCCTTTTCTTTTGGCTCTTGCTCTGGTCTTGGAGAAAATTCCTCATCATCAATTCTGAGAGACGTGATTTTGCTAGAAAGTACAGTATGCATTTGAATAGCTTCTGTGAGGAAGCATGTGCCAAGCCAATAAGCAAAAATGCCTTTGCCTTTCATAAACACCTCCATAGACATCCCCCTTCACCAGTGCCTGGGGGATAGTGTAGCTCTTGATGTCCTAGATGGGTTACACCCTTGGTGCCCAAATGCCTTGACTCAGAATATTCTCAAACTTCTGATTTATGAGTAGAGATCTAAGCAACTAAGATTCTTCCCAAACTGCTGGTGCAGATGGTGTTCTGGGAATGAGTGTGGCACCTCATCCCTAGAAGCTCATCACAATTTATACTTTAAAGAAGAAACTTTAGGGATACCTGGGGTGGGAAAGGGCAGCCAGGAATGGAATCTAATGCTCCAGGTCTCACTGAGAATAAGCACGTTCCCTTGGAGGCATCTTGAGTTCACCTGCTCCCCTGTTGCTCCTGAAGGAGAGGAGTCTGGGAGGAAAGGCCCGCGAGCCAGGTCCGTTTTTCCACAGCACCAGTGACAGCCGTGCAAGGGTGCGTGCAGGCTAGTCCAGGCCCCCCTCCTCTGGTCCCCCTGCCCCTGCCTGGGGTCACACTGTCAGGTCAGAAGAACAGAACCACACATTGTCTCATTCGTTCTGCCTTAACAATAACCTCTCATTCTTGCCTTCCTGGGCAGGGTGTCTTGTGATGACTATGGATAGGGAAGATAATGAAGAATTAGACCATTAACCCCTGTGATATGTACGGAGCTTTCTCAGAGAGAGGAAAAATATGCATTGTCCTCATCATGCGGCTGCTGCAAGCCTGGGTGCTTCTGGCTCTGGAAGTAGAATTGGACACAGTTTCTGCAATAACAGGAATTTAATTGTCAAAATAAAGGCCCATGTGTTTTTGAAATACCAGTTGGGGGTTGTGGATTGTTTAGAAAATTTCTCCCCCACACATACACAATCAGGATGCACACTAGGGGAAATGTGAGAGTCGTACACGAGAGAAGAAAAAAAGCGATGGAAGATTCTGGAAGAGGGAAGTATAGGTGGGCCCCCGAGGAGGACGTAGTTGCTGAAGAGGAAGCACTCAGGTCAAACTGGGGTCAGCATTGATTTTGAGTTTCTTTCTAGGTTGTATACCTAGTGTTTGATAGGTGAGACTTTGCTGAGGAAATAAGTGTCAGAGCAGCTCCCGTGGCAACATCAGGTAGGAAGAGAGGGCCCCCTTGAAAGGGCTTTTCACAGTGAACAACTAGCGACAACCTAAACATCAACAGTAGGGATGTGTTAAAGTGTATATGAAGTTTAAGTAAAATATGGTACAATACATACAGTGAAATACTGTGCAGCCATTTAAAAACTTGACGATGTTAATTGTACTTATTATAGTGGTCATTTCACAGTATGTACAAATACTGAATTGCTTTGTTGTACACCTAAACTAACACAATGTTGTTTACCGATTTTACTTTAATAAAAACCAAATGCATATGAAGTATATATTTGTATATAAAAATGCATGTATTTACACAGAAAGATACCCATGAATTAAGTGAAAATAGATAGTTAAAAAGATTCAACTTCTGTAGATTAAAAATATAGCTGGTTAGGGGCGCCTGGGTCACTCAGTCGGTTGAGCATCCAATTGTTGATTTCACCTCAGGTCATGATCCTAGGGTCGTGGGATGGAGCTCCAGTCAGGCTCTGTGCTGAGCGAGGAACCTGCTTAAGATTCTCTTTCTGTCTCTGTCCCTCTCTCTCTCCCTCTCTTTTCCCTCTCTTCCTCTGTCCCGATCCCCCATTAATGCACTCTTTTTCTTAAAAAAAAAA